GGTGGCTCAGTTGGTTAAGCAACTGCCTTCAGCTCAGGTCATGATCCTGGAGTCCCTGGACCGAGTCCTGTATCAGGCTCCCTGCTCGGCAGGGAGTCTGCTTCTCCCTCTGACCCTCCCCCCTCTCATGTGCTCTCTCTCTCAAATAAATAAAGTATTCATCTCATGCACCCTAAGAACATGGCTCCAACAGGCATAAAATCTGCCTTTGAACACAACCACTGCCTAGGGGCTGGGAGACTAGGTGCTCAGCCATGCTGTGCCTCAGCCTCCACATCAGCAAAATGGGAGTAGCACTAACTCTGGTTCTCACACAGCTTCCTCCCTCCAGTCTCTGCCGTGGTCATCACGCGGCTGTCTTCTGAGCGTCTGTGTGTTTTGCCATGGTGTTCTCCTCTCAGTTCTAACATCCTCTTCTGTGTGTATCCAAATTTCTGTCTTCTTATAAGGACACCAGTCATTAGATTAGGGCCCATTTTATTCCAGCATGACCTCATCCTAACTTGCTTACATCTGCAAAGATCCTATTTCCAAATCAGGTCACATTCACAGATACCAGGGGTTAGGGCACCAATACATCTTTGGGAATGACACAATTCAACTCACAATAGTCCTTCAAGAATAAATATCCAGAGAGCTTGGCTCTGTCCCCCTCCGTTCCTTCACCCTCTCCCTACCCCATTCGCCTATTCCTCATTCTCTGGCTTTAACAGTCCTTAAAAAGTGGTCCCAGCCTGCCGGGCATCTCAGAGGCCCATGGGGCCTCCTCCAGGACTGGTGGCTCATGGACACGTTTTTTAACAGAAAGAAATCCACTTGCTTTGGCAGAGACTTTTTTTGGTTGATTTGTTTGTGTGTTTATTTCTTATGTATTAAAGGAGGAGGCTCCCATGATAAAAAAACAACAACAACAACAAAAATGCAACACACAGACACAGAAATCGGGGGAGGGGGGTTAGTTGTGAGCCGATGATGCAGGCTGGCCTAGGACGCCTGTGGTAGCACATCAGGCCTGGGCATTGGAGAGGAACTGATGGTTCTTTTTTTTTTTTCTTTAAGATTTTATTTGTTTATTTGACAGAGAGAGACACAGCGAGAGAGGGAACACAAGCAGGGGGAGCGGGAGAGGGAGAAGCAGGCCTCCCGTGGAGCAGGGAGCCCAATGTGGGACTGGATCCCAGGACCCTGGAACCTGAGCCGAAGGCAGACACCTAACGACTGAGCCACCCAGGCGCCCCAGAACTGATGGTTCTAAGAGATGCTTGGGTCTGGGGGAAATCCTTTGGAGATAAATTAAGGGAAGAGGTATGAGCAGTGAATATTCCCGCACTCTTCTGCCTACTGGCATCTACTGTGGCCAACACTATAGGGTGTCACAGGAAGGAAAAGGCTAGAGTTGTTTTATCGATTACTCAGCAATTTCTTTATAATGCCTTCTGGGTATGGTGACCAAATAGGTTATTATTTTGAGAGTGAGAAGTGTGCTGTCAATAATTACACCCAGACAACAGCATAAAGTGGAACTGTGCCAAGCAAATTGGAGCATATGATTATCCTAACCAGGGGAAGAGACATTTTTCTTAGACCTTAGCACCACTGAAACTAGTTTAGTTGCATTTTATGGATGTGGTGACTCTGTATTTCCTTCTTTGCTTTGGCTTCTGGGAAGTTCAGAATCATATTTGTGGCCAACTTTTTGACATTGTGCTGGAATTACCAAGTGTATTTGTACACTTTCACCAGCTTTCTCTTATTCTTCGATCCTCATTTCTTTTTCTTCTTCCTAACATCTTATTTTTTTTAATCTTATTGTGTGTATTTTGTAAGATGTTTAGATGGATCATGTTTGAAGAAGTTGATGGGTGGATGAATACATATGTAAATGGAGAGATGGGTGAATGGATGGATAGATGGATGATGAGTGGGTAGGGATGTGTGTGTGTGTGTGTGTGTGTGTGTATAGACGGGTGGGTGTTTGAATCAATGAATAGACGGATGGGTGGTTAGACATTTGGATGGATGGATGAGTGAATGGATGTCAGATGGATGGATGTTTAGATGTTTAGATGAATGAAAAGATGAGTGCCTGGCTGAATATTTAGATGGGTGGATGCATATTTAAATACATGGGTAGATATTTGGCTGGATAAATGGACAGATGAATAATAGGTGATTGGATAAATGGAAGGATGGTCAGCTGACTGGATATTTAGATGGAGTTTAGCATGAACAGACATATGGAAGGAGAAATTGATAAATGGGTGTTTGGATGATTAGATAATACCTCCTCAGCACACAGTGTAGATGGCCAAGGGTGTAATAATGTGTATAAAGTAATTTGCCAATGCCTGGCAGGTCATGGGTATTCTAACTTATTAGAAAGGACACACGTTTTTGAGACTTAAAGACCTCTCTGTTCTGATCCTTGCCCTGCCGTTTACTATATGACCTTGAGCAATTACCTATCCTCTCTGCACTTTAGTTTGTTCACCCATAAAATGAAGTTAAAATACCCACTCCAGAGGGTTGCTGTGAAACTTAAGTCAGCTGGTGTGTGTTTCAGTAAATATCTGCATAATTCCTTCTGAGGTACAACTTGAGAGAGAGAGAGAATTCTTTTACCCAAGCTCGGAGTAAAAGTGCTTCCCCTCAGTATCACAGATCCAACCTAAGTCATGTGCCCACCCTGGGACCAGGAGCTGCTACTACATATACCGTTTGTGTTAGATGACCAGGCTCCACCCCAGAGCTGGGACCAGGCCATCTTCTCCTGAGCCACCTGTTTACACGAAGAAAAGGAGGGAGGGAATGGTCTGGGGCTGCTGGTTCAGATCGGATGAGAGATGATGCCCATGCTGAGCAGGTGGTGGAATAGGTGACCAATGAGCAGACTGTAACCATGTTAAGGGTGTAGAAAAACCACGCTTTGGTAGCTGATTCGATGTCTGTGGAGAGATGGAAGGATAACAATATTCACAGGGACAAAGAACCCAAGGCAAGTGCAGGTTGATGAATTAAAGTCGGGCCATGTTGCCTTTGGAGTGTCTGGGAGATTCAGGGGGAAAAGTAGTCAGATTGGTTTATCTGGGGCTTTGGCAAAAGGTCAGGGCTGCAGAGAATGAGAAGTAGTCAATATCTCGGTCTTCATAAACCTGTGTGCCCTTTCAAACGTAAAATCTTATATCCTCTTTCAGTGTTATTTAAAATGTTTAAGTGTATTAAATATAATGATTAAAAACAATCCAAATGACTTGCAGAACTGAGCCGGCTTCCCAGCTGACACTGATGGCCACTGCAGGCAGGTTAGGGAGAAGCTTCTGTCTCTTGCACTTTTGGAGAGTCAGGCTACTTTGTTTTTCCCTCATCATGGCAGGATGGGTGGGCACAAGAAGTGCACTGCACAGCCCAGGCTGTGTTCTGGCATTTTTGTGCTGCTGTTTTCACTGAAGTTATCCCCTCTACTGGCTGCGTCCCTGGCAGGCAGATGTCTAGACAGTGCTTGGTCACCTCCGGAGTTGGGGAGCTCACTACCTCCCGAGAGAGCCTGTTTTTCAATGGACATTCCTACCTGCGAACTCTAATTGGCCCCCATGGGTTTCCTCCACTGTGTGTAGCTCTGCCCTCAGGACCAGCATGGAGAGAGCATGGAGCTGGGTGTCTCTCTGCCAGCTCCCCAGGCCTTTAAGGGAGCAGCCAGGCTTGCCTTCAGTCCCCCTCTCTTCTTCGGGCCAGCACTCATAGCTGGAACCTGGCTTCAGACCTCCTTCTTTGACCCCAGAGGGGAGGGACTGATTTTTCCTGTGAGGCACTTCCGGTTGTGCTTAGTTCAGACACTTCCGGTTCCACTGAGTACGGTACTTCCGGTTCCCCCAGGTGGGCACTTCCCCTCCCTCTTCCCAGCCTCCCCGGGTTGTCTGTGGAGGTCAGGGCAGGTGTGGACTGAGACAGCGAGCCCCGGGAGTGGTTGGGCCGGGGTTACTGAGTCCCGAGGCAATGCTGGGGGTTCTCCCTGGGCCCCGGCACCCCCTGCTCACTGCTCCCAGTGATGTGGCGGCCTGGGCCCCCTGGAGCTCCCAAGCTAGGCTGCCTGGTTCAAATCCTCCCCATACCACTTCCGAGGTGTGTGACCTTGGGCAGGGGTCTGGCCTCCCTGTGCCCCGCTTTCTTCAGTGCCCTTGTAAAGTTGGAGTAAGGATGACAGTGCCCACCTGCCTGAGTTCCTGTGGGGTGTGAGGACAGAATGACATACGGGGTTGCCTCCGGACTTGGGTATAGAAGCCGCTCCTTGGATGTTAACTAGGCGCGTTCCTATTACTCTCTGAGGTCTCTCAAATCTCTGGAGCTCAAGAACTGATAGCCCTTTGACCCCTGATGGGAAATGTTGAAAAAAGACTTAAAACAGCAAAAAAGGTGACCTTTACAAAGGCTACTGGCCATTGTTTATGAGACAGAAGGCTTTGTTATAACAAGTCATCTGGAGCCCTGGAAATTCAGGCTTCAGGCGCTGCAGGCGCTGCTGTGGAAGGAAACTAGGCGGAGTATATGGACTTATCTCTCCTTCCAGAGGTTTTGTTTTTTGGTGGTATGCAAGGTTCATTTTACACAGTCCTCCCCAACTTCACAAAGTCATGAGCTCTGCACCCCTGGGAGGCTTTCACATAAGCTGAAGAGAGCCGGTTCCGGGGGGGGCGGTTAGACAGGGCCCCCACATGCTGCTATTGTCGAGAGGCTTTTGAGGGAGGCAGAACTGGGTGTGAATCCTGCCTGCTTCACTGTGGTGAGAGCATCCTGCGCTGCCCCGTAAGAAGGTGGCCGGCCTTATTGCAGCACCAGGCTCTTCATCTTTGTCATCTTTGGGGCCCCAGCCCCCAGCAAGGACTTCAGTGAATACCTATTGAGTTATCCCCGAACCAGTCATGCCCTAGGGTGGCTTGGAGGTAGGAGGGAGAGGGGACCCCCAGGCCCTTCCTCTGATCCCTCTCCTGGCCCTCATTTTGCAGACATCGACGAGTGTGAGAATGACTACTACAACGGGGGCTGCGTGCACGAGTGCATCAACATCCCGGGGAACTACAGGTGCACCTGCTTTGACGGCTTCACGCTGGCCCATGACGGACACAACTGCCTGGGTGAGTGATGCGGGCGCGCCCTGCCCGCTGGGCCTCAGCTGCAGCCTACGGTGCTGCGGGCGGTGGGAAGGCCCATCCTCCTTCGGTTTCTTGTATTACTTTGCTGGGGCCTCCAGAGTAAAATGGCCCAGACTGGCCGGCCTAAACAACGGGAATTTATTTTCTTACAGTTCTGGAGGCTAGAAGGCCGAGGGCAAGATGTTGGTAGGTGTGAGGCCTCTTTCTGAGGCTCTCTCCGTGGCTCACAGATGGCCGCCTTCTAGCTGTGTGCTCACGCAGTCCTCCCTCTGGGCCTCCATGGAGCTGGTTTCTCGCGCCCTCTCTTCTTCTCTCTGCCCCTGTGTGTGTGTGTGTGTGTGTCCCCGTCATAATCTCCTCTTCTTATAAGGATACCAGTCTTATTGGAGTGAGCCCCCTCCCAACAACCCATTTTTAACCCAGTTACCACTTGAAAGGCCCTGTCTCCAGATAAGTCATGTTCTGAGGTCCTGGGGGTCAGGGCTTCAACACCTGGATTTGGGGAGCACAGTGCAGCCCCTCACAAGGATTCTCATATGCCTCCAGATTCTCATGGTTCAAGTACATAGATTTAAGCCAGTTGTATGAAATTTAGAAGAGTAACGCAAGCTTGCTGGATCAAATTGGGAGCATGCAGGAGAGGAAGGAGGGAAATTGGAAAGCAACGTCATTGTGCTGGTGTGTCTCCTCGCAGCCCTCCCTGCCCCCAGGTGTGGTTTCCTGGGGTGGGAATCAGTGGTCCCCGTCACATGCCCCCCAGGTATCCTCCACCCCCACCCCACCCCGGTTATCACCATTTTGCCAGCTGTCTCATAATGTGAGAAGTGATTCGTGAGCCAGAGTGACAAACTCAGTGTGACAAACTCAGGGCTATAACGATGTGACAAACTCAGTGGCCGAAACACCAGAAATTTGTTCTCTCCCAGGCTGGAGGCCAGACATCTGAAGTCAAGCTGTCAGCAGAGTCGGTTCCTTCAGAGGGCTTCCAGGGAGAATCTGATCCAGGCCTCTCGCCTGGCTTCTGATAGCTTCCGGCATTCTGTGCTTGTAGATCATGGGCTCCCCGTGCTTTCATGTGGCCTGTGCTCTGTGCAGGTCTGTGTCTGTGTCCAAATTTCCCTCTTCTACAAGGGCACAGTCCCCTAGTCCTGTGACACCCGTGCAAAGACCCTATCTCCAATAGAGGTTACAGGTCCACAGAGACTGGTCTTTAGGACTTCAGCATCTTTGGGGGGACATAATTCGTAACAGAGGTGGTTTGCAGTCTGCAGCAGGAGGACCATCTCATGGCGAGGGCACAGGGTCTCAGAGCAGATGTGCCTGTCCCTCAGGCCCTCCTCTGCCGCTGGCTGCTGAGTAACACAGGGCCCAGCAGCTAGAGCCAAGGAGGTAAGACCGTGGACTGGACAGAAGCATGGCTGTGGATCCGTTATTCGTGTCTCAGGGGCTCAGTCCCTCATTGGTAAAGGGAGGGTACGAAGAGCAGCTTCGTCCCGGGCTCTCATGAGCAGTGACCAAGACGGTGTCCTGCTGCTGAGAGGTGCGCCCAGCCAAGCATTCCCCTCCTAGTGGCCGTCACTCCCGTCACAACCCCGAGCCTTCTTCCCTGCTGTCAAAGCCGGGTGACTATGCTGCCTACTTCACCAACTTGTGCGCGAGGACAGAGTGACACGGTGAGCGAAGTGACTGGCATTTAGCCAGTGCCAATCGTCACCAAACAGGGCATTACTGTTACTCTGGGCGACTCAGCCTCCCTTTTGTGGTGGGACATTTAGACTGTTTGTTTATTTTGTTTGTTTTATTCCTACCGTCAGACTCCTGAGGTGTTGATTCTGGGCATAGATTTATTTTTTCTTAATTTCCTAATTGTTTCCTTTAACCATTCTTCCTGGAAGTGGAATGACTGGGGCAGAAGGTCACTGAGATGTTTTTAGGGCTTTCGGTGCGGGACTTCGTGAAAGGGCTCGGCAGACCTTGCCTGTCGGGGCATGGAGTGGCAAGTGCGGCGTCCCGAGCATTCCGGAACTCTTCCCCCGAGCGGTGGATTGGCCTTAGATTTCCCTGCCTGTTTTTGTTTAGTGCATGTTGGATCTCAGACAGACTCGTTATGGGAAACAGACCTGTGAACATGTAATTACAGCCAAAGTAAGTGCTGAAATGGAGGTCTGGACAGCAGGCTGCAGGAGCCCAGAGGGGCCTGTGAAGAGCTGCCCCTGCACCGGGTGAGGGTGGGGCTGGAAGTGGGGTGGCTCCCCAGGGGACTTCAGAGAGAAGGTAGCCTGGAGCAGATTCTGCAAAGGTTGGGGAGCAGCTGGCTGGGACGAGGGCACGGCCTGTGCAGAGAGCCGCGGGGTTGGTGGGGGGGCTCCTGGGGGCTGGGCTCAGGGCAGATGCAGAGGTGGGCAGGGCATTTGGTTAGATTGTAAAGATTGGGGCTGTGCCGCAGGACCTTTATTGTGCCAGACACCAAGGAAGTCTCGTCCGAGCGTTATCTCATTTAATCCTACCAAAGCACAAGCCCTGAGTTTTACCAGTTGTTTGCCACTGTTTCAAATGACATCAGGAGTTCACTTCAGTAACTGATTAGTCTGGGAAGGCAGAGCTGATACACCCATGAGGCAACAGGCAGTAGCACCCAGTGGCCCAGACAGGCCCTGGGAACCGCCCGTTCTGGGCTCCGGTCCTGGCTCTGCCACTTACCAGCTGTGTGACCCTTGGCCAGTCACTTCACCTCCGTGCCTAGTTTCCTCACCTGTACAATGGAATTCATAGTCCCTATCTCATGAGGATTCAATGAGATAGTGGCTATAGAACATCTAGCAGAATGCCTGGCATCGAGCACTCACAATGTCATGGGCATCGATCTTGCTCACCGACTTTCAGAAAGAAATGCATTGGGGTGGGCCTATGGAGGCCAGAGCCGGCCCTCAGCACGCCTGGGACTGTGTCTGACCCACGGGGCTCCCCTCTGCTAATAGCACCCTTTCCTGTGCGGAACCACCTGCTCCTAAATATGCTTGTTCTGGATGTTGGCAGGTATACCCAGTGCCTCCTGACTAACAGCAGAGTCTGGCTGGGTTTATTTTTATTTTTACAACGGATTCTTTTTACACTGATTAATTTGAAGAACTGGGTAAGACTCCCCCCACCCCCACCTCCAAGCACAGATTGTAACTTCATACGGCTCTAACTCACACATATGGCAACAGAGAAAAGGCTTTCTCTGTTGTTCCTCTGCTTTTAGCTGAGGGCAGAACCTTCCCAACAGACTTGTTTTTGTTTGGGCTTTTTCCTTCTCAAGACAAAACTCTAGCTCTAGAGAAGTCAGCCCTTGGTTCCAACCATTTCCATCCCACACTGACCACGTGACCTCCCGGAGCCTCACATCCCTCCTCCATAACATGCGGTGGGAGATAAAGTGCCTGATAGGGCGTCTGTGTTGGCAGAAACACAGAATGCTGGAAGAGGAAGGCAGGCTTGGAATTTGAAGATTTAGGCTCAAGCTCTGGCACCACTGCTCATGAATCAGTGGTTTGGGACCGGTTCCTCAAACCCTCCAAGCAGGTTCCCCTAACTGCAACATGGGTCAGTAATCCCTGTCTTGGAGGGTCAACGTGATGGTTAAGTAAGAAAGCAGGTACGGGGATCTTCATGGACAGATGTCACATTTTGGTCAGGTGCTGGATACTGTCATCGTGTTGTGGAGGTTTCACTCAGGCAGCCTGCCGTCCTCATCCAGCCTGCAAACACGTTTGGCTTATTCTCCCAGTGTTTTTGTAATCATCACCGTCGTCGTAATCCTCATTGAATGATTTGTCAACGTTTAAAAATCAAGGGAGGCTGGTGATGGGTATTAAAGAGGGCACATTCTGCGTGGAGCACTGGGTGTTATGCACAAACAATGAATCATGGAACACTACATCAAAAACTGATGGTGTAATGTATGGTGATTAACATAACAATAAAAAAATTTTAAAAAATAAAAATAAAAATCAAGGGAGGGTTCTAGAGGGGAGGGGGGTGGGGGGATGGGTTAGCCTGGTGATGGGTATTAAGGAGGGCACGTTCTGGATGGAGCACCGGGTGTTATACGCAAATGATGAATCATGGAACACTACATCACAAACTCATGATGTAATGTATGGTGATTAACATCACATGAGAAAAAAATAAATCAAGGGATGTCACAGAATAGATCACATACTAGGCCACAAAACAAGCCTCAACAAATTCTAAAAGTTCGAAGACATACATGCATCTTTTCTGACCACAGTGCTATCAAACTACAAGTCAACCACAAGGAAAAAAATCTGAAAAGACCACAAATACATGGAGATTAAATAAAATGCTACTACATGGGGCGCCTGGGTGGCTCAGGCGTTAAGTGTCTGCCTTCGGCTCAGGTCATGATCCCAGGGTCCTGGGATCGAGCCCCGCATCAGGCTCCCTGCTCAGCAGGAAGCCTGCTTCTCCCTCTCCCGCTCCCTCTTCTTGTGTTCCCTCTCTTGCTGTGTCTCTCTCTGCCAAATAAATAAAATCTTTTAAAAAATAATTAATTAATTAAAAAAATAAAATGCTACTACACAATGAATGGGTCACCCCGGAAATAAAAGGAGAAATAAAAAAGTACACGGAAACAAATGAAAATGAAAACACAATGGTTCAAAGCCTCTGGGATACAGCCAAAGCAGTTCTAAGAGGGAAGTTTATAGTACTACAGGCCTCCCTCAAGAAGCAAGAAAAATCTCATAGAAAAATCTCATATAAGCAACCTAACCTTATACTTAAAGGAGCTAGGGAAAGGACAACAAACAAAACCCAAAACCAGCAGAAGGAAGGAAATAATAAAGATTAGAGCAGAAATAAATGAAATAGAAACTAAAAAAAAAAAACAAAAAACAATAGAATGGATCAATGAAACCAGGAGCTGGTTCTTTGAAAAGATAATAAAATTGATAAACTTCTAGCCAGACTTATCAAGA